AAATAAGTGTGAAGAAAAGAAACGCTTTTGACCTGGCGTAGAATAACCAATATTTAAGCTAGTCTTTTCTTTTAACTGTTGTTAAAAGTCCCAGTCTGGCTCTAAAAAATTTATTATGGTTGAAAATCGTTTGCTATATGAAAAACGGAGATTTTTTTTTTGAAGTGGACGATAATTATTTTATTCGTGCAACGTTTATATTGAATGACACTTGATCTGCAATGTCCCGCGACTAATATAAATATAAAGGAAGGTCTTATGATACTCTAATAAATAATACGGACCCGGACACTTTACCGACACCCACTTTACCGACAGGACACTTTATTATTATCGACACCCACTTTACCGACAAGACACTTTACCGACAAGTATTGTGTTAACAATTTGCCAAGGACTGTGTGAAGACCTGGATAACTAGCTAAAAATTTGGTTTGTTGTGCAGTGAAAACTTAGCCGTACGTCATAACTAATATCACCACTTATTATCCTTACTTTGCATCAAAAGCAAGTTCATAAAAATACAATACAGATACATGTGTAATATATTTTTTTTTGTCTGACAAAACTGATAAAAATTTATTTTTTTATTAAATTTATTTATCCGATTGGAGATTTTGTAAATAGTTTTGAGCAGTCAATCATTTACGAAAAACTTTTATTGTGACACATTAATTATTATAACAAAAAAAAAATTTTAAAATGAAATATTATGGGCAATGCCCCGAAGAAACTTTATAGTTGATCTAATGTTACGGTCATTTAATACTGTTTGAATCTGTATTTCACGATTACGATCTTGTGGTCTCTGTGGGGGTCGTGGTGTTTCTCGCAAGACCATTTCTACGTCAAGTTCGACTTTACTTTGATTGTCGGTAAAGTGTCCCAGACCCAAATAATATCATTTCGAAAGAAGACATTTATTGTCGATCAATTGTTGTATTAGCCGCATTCCAAATTTGGAAAGATCCCTGACTAGTGTGTCATTAATTTGAGATGATCAACAAGGGGAAATTTGTTAATAAATAAATTAGCAGTAATGTATTATTTTCTTTTTATATTTTTTATATTACCCTACAAAAAATTAATTACCATTTTTTTTACAATCTATAATTACATAGTAATTTAAAAAAGTAAAAAATGGAAATTTCATTTGCATGTTGTAGTATATAAAAATGCCAAAAGATAAAAAAATAAAAGAAAAAAGAAAGCAAAATCAAGGAAATAAAGACAAATATGATGAGTAAGTATTGTTTATCGTAAGAATGGTGGTTATCACCACCACTCGTCACTCTATATAGTTAATAATTTTAAGAATGGAGGAAATATGAAATTACACTATCAGATTAAAACTTTACCTAATTTGTTCATATTTATACTTCTTAGATCCGAGACTACCTCTTTAATATTAAAGAAAAACAATAGAAAAAGACCACTTAATACTCCACAATCTAAATCAGCTGTAAACAAAAGATTAAGAGATTTTGGTAAAGATGCAAAGAATTTAATTGATTCATTAATTGAATCTTATAATATGAATGAAGAAGAAAGTCATGCAATCAGCCTTCATAATTTAGAATTAGATTGCAATACAGAAAAAATAATGATAAATTATAAACAAATGTATGAACGAAGAGAAATTGATGCTATTGTTAGAGCCTGTGATGAGTCATTTTTGTCACGTGAACCATATCAACATCTAGCAGCAATAGATGCTTCTCTTGTCCGTGAATATATTGTTTCAGATCATAGAAATACAATAACAAATTCAATCAATAATGATCTTAACATAAAAACATTTAGTATTGATAAAATTGTTAATGATTTGGAAATGTTTGAAGAATCTGAAAGTAATATAAAAGTGAGATAGGAAATGGTGTTTCAATATCGATTAATTCATTATTATTAGCTCTAATTCCAACTTGGAAAGAATCTGAAATTATAAAATTTGGTGATACACTTATGCTTAAACTTGGTGGAGATGGTTACAATATTGGTCATAAACAGAACCATGTGATGTTTACTGTTTGTCTTTTAAATCAAGGCGAAGAGGTTCTAAAACCAGAGAATCAACATTGGTAATTATTATTATATTAAAAAAGTAACTGATAATAAAAAGTAAGATGTTTTTATTTAATTATTTAAATTTTTTTAGCATCTGCCTTTATATTTGAAAAGAAAAATATGAAAATGTTTCTGTAGTGGGAAAATTATATTGTCATGAACTTAATGAACTTAGAAACAATGGTATATATGATAAAGATGGAAGGAATGCATTGGAAAATAGAACTTTATTTTGCTGGTGATTGGAAGATTATGTATATTGTAATGGGCTTGGATGTTCCTAATTCTAAACATTTTTTTTAATACTGTAATTGTGGATCTGATATATGTTGGGACATGGATCAAAAATTTGAAAATACTGTCAATAATTCATGTTAGTTTTTCCTTTAATTATTATTAATTTTTTCAATTTTAAATCAAAAACTTGTTTAGGTAAAAATAAAAAACCTGAAATATTTCCTGCAATAATCCAAAAAAAATTATATACCTGATGAATTGCATTTGTTTTTGCATATTGTAGATATATTAATGGAACACTATTTCAATTATTTATTTAAAAGCAAAGATTTTGAAAAAAAGTCAAACCAGGAATCATCAGGAAATTAATTTAGCGTAAACTTGCATAAATCTTACAATGCCGACGTAATATTGTGTAAATCTTACAGTGCCGACGTAAGTTTTACACTTTTTTATTATTAAACTTACAATTGACACGTGTAAAATTTTTTTATATTTTCCGGATGATTGAACAGGAAATGTATAATATAAAAGTTCATTTCGAATTTTTTAAAACTAAGTCAACTGGATTTTTTGCTGTTTTAATAGTGTGTAACCACCTTAATGATGTTCATGATATTCATGAATAAAAACCCTAACAATGGAACTGGACTTCCTTAATGGGTCCTGATAAAAAAAAGGTCTTAGAAAATTTTCCAGTTTGCAAATTTGTTCCTGGTACTTATGGAGAAAATATTGAAAAACTATGGAAAGAATTTTTTAGACTTTACATGATTAAAGTTGGTGTCAGTAACTGATTTGAAATTCTGCAACTGGTTGCAACATCCTGGGTTGCTGAACTAAAAGCAATTTTTTTTAAACAGGGGTTTTTAATTAAAAGCCACTTATTTTATCATTCAATTTCATATTGTAATATTTTATCCCATATAAACAAAAACGTGACCTGCATATAAACAAATCAATGATAATTCTACTCTCAGAGTTACAAGGCAAAGATTTTCTATATAGATAGACGAGTATTTAAATACAGTGCAGATCATCTATACTCAAAAGTTAAAAAATTTGAAATATTATGTGATACACACGTCAGATTTTAAATAAACCACCACTATTCAATTCAGTTTTAAAAATGGAGTAAATTCATACAAAAAAAATTTTGTCTCAAATTTTCTTTTCATAGATTTTTTAAATTCGAGAGTTATGCTCAGAAATGCAATAATAATTTTCGCGTTACAATATTTGAATTACATGACTAAATTTGGTGACGATTTTCCTTTGATGTAATATGTATGTTCGTTAAACTTTTTATTGTAATAGTAATAATAAAGAAAGAACTTTTATTATTACTGTGAAGCCTTGAAAGTCAGCACTCCTTTTTTATAACTGTTTGCAACTGTGTAACAAATTATTTCCAATTGTTTTATAGTAGGGTGCTATCTTTAGAGACTTTACAGTAATAAAAAAAAAGAAAATGAATAATACAAATAAATCAATATTGATATATGTTGTAAAAGATATTCTATGAAAAAACCTTTTGTTACACACAATTTACTTAGTCTTAGTCTCAATTTCTTAAGTATATAACAAAATTTGGAATTTTCAAAATGGTAAGGCTCTGTCAATTTTTAATTTAAGAAAAAACTAGCTGATAAATTTGAAGCTTTAGTCATGAACAATAAAACTTATCAGTTAACTTTTTTTTAAAATGATATAAAATTATTTGTTGGCATTGAATTTATTTATATCAAAAACTTAATAACCATGAAGTAATCTGTTACATACAATAATAGGTGAGGGAATTCATTTATAAACTAATATATATTTCATGATATTATTTATTAATTTTATAATTTTAATAATAATAACAAGAAAGGAAAAATAAGACATAGTAAATCACCTATATACAAAAGGTATTAATTTAACAATTTACTATTAAATTTAACATACATTGTTAATAATAATAGGAAAAGGGAAAGCAAAGAGCAAGTCTAGTCAAAGACTTATTCTAGTATGAGATAGTAATAGTAAATCTTGGACCTATCAATTACCCGGTTAATATTGACCAATTAGAACGAATTTACTACGGAAGTCATGTGAT